TCACGTATGCCACTGCCATGAAGTCATCAACCATTATGCCCATCACCCGAGACCAAATTCATGAGACCAACTAATCATGGGCTTTCAGTTCCTAAAAATAGAAGCTAATAAAAGTTTTTTCCTTCATAAAGTACCCAGACTCAAATATTTTGTTATTGCAATGATAAATGAATTAATGCTCTACCTCAAGAATATACCTGTGTGAATATCTAGCACATGCAGAAAATAAAACAATTATTTAAGCAGACAATAAAATAATCAGGTTATAGTACACAAAAGATGACAGAAAAAAATATATTCCTCAGGAAGATTATTTGCCTTAAAACATACTTTAAGAGTATTGACAAAAAATATTGGATTAACTAACTATAGGAGGAAAATCAATGAAAACTAAAACATAATTGAAAACATAGTTATGTGTGGAGCTGAACTTTCAGTTATGGTAAAGTAGCCATTTCAGCTGAACCATTATGCTGAGAAAAACTAGTCTTTAGATACTGAACACATTGTTTGAAGGTACCATAAAGCCAAGGAAGCAAGCATTTAAAGAGACTAGAACAGTTAGAACTGAAGCTCAAGGGATAAATCCCAAAATTGGCACTCCCTGTCATCTTGCAAACCTTTTGCTAATTCAAAAATGACTGAGAACCAAAAATGCTTAGGAAAACTGTGTAACTGAAAAAGCTATTCAGCTTTTTCGGAGTTTCAGTGGGCTCATCAGCTCAGGAGACACAGATTGGGTTTAAGGCCCACCCTGGCAGAAAGGATCTCAAAAAAAAAAACAAACAAAAAAAAACACCCAGGTAGTCAGGTGTGGCAACATACACTTGTAATCCCAGCACTCAGGAGGCTGAATCAGGAGAATCCCCTTGAGTTCAAGGCCAACCTGGGCTACATAGTGAATTCAAGGCCAACCTGCATTACATACTTCATTTCTTCAAAAAAACCAAAACCAAACAAAAACAAACAACCCAGGGATGAATTTGACATCAGTAGAGGGGCTATTGTCTATCAGTATAAACCTGAAGTACAAAACTACTCTCAAAACCTGAGACCCAATTTCCAAAGACACAACAAATAATTATAATGCTATCAACTGTATCTATCCTAACTGCATCCCTGAGGGAAAAGAAAATGCTCCTTAGAGAAAACTAAAATCACACTGAAGCACTAATTACTTTTACAGTACTTCACATAAAAATGTCTGCATATGATAAAACAAAACCATAGGTCCAAAATAAAATAGGAAGGAAAGGAAAAGATTAGCATCAGAAAAGTAAATCATTATCTTCACTTACTGAGGATATCTGGGACAGAAAGAACAATGATTTGATTGATTCCACACACAAGTTAGAATGGCACTGAGATTCTACTACACATCAGTCACAGGTTTACAATTCAAAACACTAGCCTTACCAACTGCTAGTAAGGATGCACAACTATGGCCACCCATACACTTGGATTAGGGTAGAATATTGCATAATCACATTACACTTTGAAATTTTCTAAAAATAATCTTAAATATATGAATAATGTGAACTAGCTATTCCATGCCTTGATATTTATCAAGAAAAAATGAAAGTGTATGTGAACACAAAAATTATATAAAAAATTAACACCATGGGAAATGGGGAAGGGCTTGTGGAGTACTGAAAGGGGAGAAATCTGAAGGTATGCAAGGAAATCTGGGTAGTCAATAAACATATTCATTATCTTAATTCTGGGAATGGTTTCACAACTACATAGATATCTCAAAATTCACATTATTTTAAAGCTGACTTTATTTCAACTCTACTTATATAAAGTTGTTAAAAATAGGTAGGACCCACCAAAATATCAACTTAATGAAACAATTTTATCATTAAAATCAAAAGAACAAATCCTGAAAATTAAAGATCTGATAAACCACATCAAAATTTGGAAACGTAAGGGTCCATTTAAACCATAAGACTAATCAAAATAAAACAAAATTAGTATAAGTTTAAGAAACTCAGGGGAAAAAATAAAGTTAAGATCCACAAATCTGAAACTTAGTTTAGTTTTTTTTTGAAAAAGTTATAAACATAAATCCCAAGAAAATTAACAGCAAATTAAAGACATACATTATCAATTCCACTGAAAAGAAAGCTTAATATATTAAGTTATACAAAATAATAAAATCCTAGAAAGAAACAGCTCAATAAAATAAGACATTCAGAAAAATCTCAATTATCCTAAAGATTTTAATTTATTTCATAAAAACACTTCCTACAAAGTTTCCATTTTGTAATGCTTCATCTTATAAACTTTTCATAAATTCCAGAAAGGAATAATATCAATCATATAAAACCTGTTCCACAGGTTAAAAAACTGAAAACTCACTCTATAATTACTAAGTGAGATTCTATACATACTTTACACTAAACTCATAAGGCCATTTTAATAAAGGAAAATAAATGGTAGATATGCACCCTGAAATATGAGAAAAACAGTCCTTATGTTTGAACAATTGGAATCAATCCTAAGATACTTTCAATTAAGACATCCCATGAACATATTGGGTTTAATCCAAGAATAAAGTCTTAATGATTTAGCATACTAAATATAATCATTTTTAACAAATAAAAGACAGAAACCACATCACTATTTTAAATACAGAGAACCATTTGGTAAATTTAACATCCAGTTTTGATTTTTAAAAAACTATAGCAAATATCATAATCAGTGATGCAATATTCAAAACCATAGCCTGAGGCTAGGAATGAGATAAGAATGCCTACTACTATTACCATTTCTATTCAATACTTTACTGAGTTCATAGCCCTGGCTGGAAAATTGGAAAAAAAATGCATAATGATTAAAAAGGAAGAAAAGAATTGACCTTTATTCAGAGATTTTATTTTTATGTTTCCAGAATATCTGAAAGCAGTCTACAGATATAAATAAGAATTGATAATCACATTAGTTAAGATTGCTGGATTCCAGACAGTTAAATCCCTGAACACATTTCTCTGAGAATTGCAACTCTTTATAAACATTTTATACAGACTTTAAGATGTAACATCTTACACAAGAAGGTTATAATTTCACATTTTTCCCACAAATATTGTTAAGATAAAACTGAGATGATTTTAACCCTGATCCTTGTTGTCATTTTTTCTGATATCATGACAATAGAGGATCATTAATAGTAGAAAAACTCTAGCTTGCATTTGACATTTAATCTTACTAAACAATAAAAAGATCATTCTTTGTGATAATTTTTCTTATGGCCTCCAATTTAATGACTTCCATGACTAATTAGAGGTCAACTTCTTATAAATGATTCACAACTAAATTAAATTATTTCTCCACATAAATTAATTTATACATTTTTCTTATTCTTTTCTAACTCTGTTTTAATTCTGGCTTCATATACAACTTCTTACTTGTACTATACTATACTGAAAAACAAAAGATCATCCAAAAGAGCAATGATACAGTGTCATGTGATTTGTGTTTTCCTTTATTAATTACAAATAAGGTGTTAACAGTGTAAAGTCCTCCCATTATATATATATATATATATATATATATATATATCCTTCCACAGAACAGTGATTAGCAGTGCGTAATTTAACAAAACTATATTATTTACATTAATAATATAAATGTACATCTGAACACATGAATAAATTATAATTTGCTTCTTTTTTTACCAACAGTATATCTTGGAGATATCGTCTGTAATTATTAAAGATATACCTGACTGTGTATATAATACTGTATATATAGTAATTAGAGTATAAGCATATATTCTACTAAAAATAGTTGCATTTTATGTATTATATATATTAGATAAGCACTGTCAAAAACAGTCATAGAAAGGCAATTATTATGGAAAAGGGTTGGAAAATTTAAAATATTATTTAAAAATACAAAATTAATTTCTAAAACCAGAATCATTTCCTATTCCTTCCCAAATCTGATATCAATGGATAAAAGTGATAGAGTATTTAATTTCTACTAATCATATAGTATTTTATACTGTCAATGTTATATATCATACATGCATTTTAGCAAGATCATTTGTTAAAGAGTATATTTCATAATTGACTATCAAAAATACTATATATTGGGCTGGGGATTTAGCTCAGTGTGCCTGCCTCACAAGCACATGGTCCTGAGTTCGATCTCCAGTACCAAACCCCCCCACACACATATTAGGTACATATATGCATAAATTATGGTTACTTTCACTTATGTTCTATTTCTTGTTACTGAATTGGTTCTGATATACACTCTATTTATGTAAATCATTTTATCAGTAAAACATGCTTTCCAAAGCAGGATATTATTTCATATTGTATAAATATAGTACTGTAGACATAAAATATTTTTTATAAGTAACACAAAAGAGTCACTTCAATTTTTAAGCAAGAGTTTTCTCTTAAGTTCTCATCCTCTCCAACATTAGCATCAGATAAACAATTATAACAACTAGTAATTCTGTTTTTCACGTGAATGTATTTAAATTTTTAATGCATATATAAACTGAACCCACAGCCGCCCCATATTATGCTCAACCACTAGGCTAAATCCTGATTCCCCTACCCTCTTTTTTTTTTTTTTATACCGGGATCAAACTCAGGACCTTGTGCTTGAAAGGCAGGCGGCGGCGCCACTGAGCTAAATCCCCGGCCCAGGGTCTCACTAAATTGCCCAGGCTTGCATAGACCTGCGACTCTCTTGCCTCATCATCTCCAGTAGCTGGGATTAGAGGAGTGTGGCACTACACCTGTCCAGCTATTGAAAATTTAAAATTTGCTGGGCATGGTGGCCCAGACCTGTAATCCCAGCACTCGGGGAGGCTGAGGCAGGAGGATCATCTCCAGTTCGAGGCCAGTCCGAACTACAATAGCGAGACCTTGTCTCAAAAAATGTCTAAAAATCTTTTATTAGTTAGATATATATTTGGAATCTATATCAAATATAAGTTAGCATGCAAAATCAGAACCCTCCGAAAAGTAAAGACAAATTACCTTTCCGGGTTATTTCAAAATGGCTGCATCCCTACAGAATTCACCAAAAACTGTTAATAATAGAGCAGGATGTTTTCAACGCTGAAAGGCAAAATGAAAAAAATAAACTATAAACACAATTCAATATAAAGTACAAATTTGTTTCCAAACTAAGAATAAATTAAGAATTACCTAGAATAGACAAACTCGAGAAGGTTCGTTACTGGGTTGCAGTTAATTTCTATTGCTCCGGAAAGTTCTACCATAGGAACGGAAATAATACCTGATGGGAACAGAGAATTTCGGGAATGCTAGAAGAGCGCTGGCCTGGAGGTCAAAATGGTGCCACCTACTGGTAGCAATGGATAATGGCAATTGGTTGGCACTTCAGCCTAGGAAATGAAATATCACAACCATATTCTGTTGACCACAGGGAAGTCCCTAGACTTGGCAGAATGCATACAAGTGCCATAACCTTCCTCTCTTGATGTAAGTTGTATGTGTAGACATGATTTTAAACTGCCACATAAAAAAGAGAAGTTAAATTGACTAATAAAAAATGCAGTAAACACAAAAAAAGACACAAAGGAGAAACAGAGCCATATAAAAAGGGTCTCAAAATAGAAACCAAATGGCAAGTTGGCCAAATGTTTAAAACTATATTAATAATACTATTGTAAAAAGAGACAGGACAGTCACGGTTACATCAAAATTTTGGCAGATAACAGATATGTTCATTATTTTGACTGTGTTGATAATTACATGAATATATACATATTAAAAATTGTTCCCAGCTCTCTGGGAGATTGAAGCAGGAAGATCACAAGTTCATGACCAGCCTGGACAACTTAGCTATTTAGCAAGACCCTGACTCAAAAATAAACTTTAAAAGAGCTGGAGACCTAGTTCAGTGTGAAGGGCCCTGGGTTCAATCCTCAGTACCAAAAAAAAGTACCCTATTGAACATTTTAAAGTTGCACACTGCCGGAATCTTTCTCCTGGAATGGTGCCTCATCCTCTTCTTGTTCTTCCTCACTACCCACATCTTCCATGAGCATCGGTCTCAGTTTAGAAGCTGTTTTAGATGCTGGATCTTGTAAAGACTGAGAGCCAGTTTGAACTGTTCTTTCTTTGCCTACATCAGCAGTCAAAAACCCGAAAAGGAAAAAACTCACTTTAAGATTTTGGAAAGGAAGAAACTTGGGCCGTGGTCATTATAGAGTTTAGACTGAGATGCTTAACAAGTAATACATATTTCCTGCCAAAGATCGGGGAAAATAAACTGGTTGCTCCCAAGGGTACAGCATTGTCCTCTTCTCTGTGGATGAAGCTGAGTCTATGTGAAAATGGAGGGTTGGTTTATTGTTTGAATATTGGGACATTAAGCAGTCTATCGCTTAGTTTTCTGTCTCACCTCATTTTCCCTTTGTCTTACATAAACTCATACATGATTCTGTTTGAATATCAAATCTGTAACCTACACTTTTGTTCAAAGCCTGATTCACGAAACTCACAGTAGTGCTAACTGTAATAACCACTATTGGGGAAAATCCCGAATACCTGCCTGTTGCCATGCCAACGGAGTGGCCGATGGGGGACATCTGTGGGAGCACGCGCCGTGTGGCTGGCAGGACGCCACTGCTGTGAAGGCACTTTGTACATGGGTGAGGGGGGTTTTCTAGATTATGGAGGGGGGGTTAAAACTGGGACTTTTTTTTCTTTTTTGGTTGTTCCTTTTTTGATGGGGTGTGGAGGTATAGTACTCAGCTTTGCCCTAAAATAACATGTATAAAAACCTCTGGAGTATTGTGTGGGTGTGCGTATGAGTGTGTTTGTATACGTCTGACAATTAAACCTTTGTCTTCTGGAAATTAGTGAATTCTTTTCTTCTTTTCCTCCAGAAGTATTTGTTACAAGATTTGTAAATAAGAGCTCTACTTAGTTTGTTTACCATGAACGTGTAGCAACAAACCTTCTACACCTAATTCCTGCAAGGCTTAGGAGGGACTAAAACTTGCCAGGTTAAACAGCAGCCAAGTTCTCAGTAATTGTTTGCCTTGATTTGTGTTTTAGACTTTTCATTTTGCCAGCTCGAAAACTCCCAGTCCTCCTTGATTTTAGTCCTTAATCTTTTATGTTCTGAGCAGGAAGGGTAAAAGGAACCTGCTTAATCGTATGAATTAGTCCGTAGCCGAGACCGGGCATCCCTTTCCTTATATTACAATGTCGCTGGATACATGATCAGACACCAGAGGGTTGGGCATTCTTGCATTACCTTGACAGTGTTGGAATCTGCAGCATGATACTAAGGAAGTTAAAGTTTGAATGTAACCACTTTATTTAAAAGGTTTTTCTTTAATTTAAATGAAATAGGGTTGAAGTGAACATGATTTTGTTGACCATGTTTGTGAATTATAGATGCAATATATATTGGTAGAAACGTGTGATGGTCTTTTGTGATACTTAATTTTTACATATCCATCTCTGTATGTATCTGCATAGACAAAGAAAAACCAAACTCCTGCATTACTTTTGTTGAAGGTTTCCAGGACTGCGTGTCTGCTCCTGAACTTTGTTTTAAGTATGTGTATCCTTTGCTTGTACTTTGTATTAAAAAATAAGAAAGAGAACCCCTTATCGTTGAGCATGTTGGCATTGTCCCCTTTATTTTTCTCTTTGGGGACATTTGAAGCAAGTTATTCTTTTTCTGTATCTTTTTTTTTCTTTTGTAAACATTTTTCTGTTTTGTTTAAAAATGGCTTTATAAAAGGGCTTTTATAACCCTCCCCCCCCCCAAAAAGTTGCACAGTTTATTTTGTGTCAATTATACATCAATAAATCTTTTTTCAAATGTGTGGGATTGGGCCAGGAGTTAGCTCAGTGGCGCCACCGCCTGTCTGGCAAGCGCAAGGTCCTAAATTCGATCCCCAGTACACACACACACACACACAGTGTAGGATGAACCTCTCAATTGGCATATAAAGAAATTTTTCCATGTTAAATGCAAAAAAAAAAGGCTGGAAAATTAGGATCTGCATATTCATCACAAGAATTTTACAGGATAATGTAAAATGAAGTAACTAAAGAAAAACAAATAACAAAATTAAATTCAAATAGAAAATGTTTCCCATCAACAAAATTTTAATGATTTTTTTAAATAAAAAGTTTTCCCCTTTGAGAATATAAGTAGTATTGATAAATATCTAGGTAGAATGACAGAGAAAAGTAAAAGCCACATATTATTCAAATCAAGAATGAAAAAGGAGTCATCCCTGTATACTCTATAGAAATAGATATTAAAGTATAAACAGTTGCAACCCTTAAATCTGAAATTAGATGAAGTGAAAAATTCAAAGGAAATCACAGCTTAAAGCAACATGAATAGAAAAAATATGAGAAAAGGAAAAACATGGAAACAAAGTCTTTGTAAATAGGGAAGGATGGAGGGGGTGAAGGGAGGGCAGGGGAATGGGGAAAAATAAGAATCAAGAGACATCATGTAAAGGTACAAGATCCCAATGATGAATGTAACCATACTGTATACCTATAATGTACCAATAAACTAAATGGAAAAAGATTAGAAAAAAATCAAGTGTAATTTTAGATACTACAAATAATTAAAAATAATATTAGTTTAAAATACACCCTTTACAAAAAAAACTCCATCAAATTTTTTCAAATTATTTTCTTTTTTTTTTTATTCGATTTCACTTTATTTTGTTCCCTTTCCAGTCTGTTTTGGAGTAGAAAAAAAATATCACCGAGAGGAAGCAGCCAGGGCAGGTGGAGCTGGACTGCAGGGGCAAGAATGGAGCGAGAGGGGGCAGGGGCCAGGCTGTGCACCTGGCTTGGGAGGGAAGGAGAACAGGCAAAGGGCAAGCAGAGGGAGGGAACAGCCCCGGATAGAGGCCTTCACAGTCTTTAAGAGTGGGTGAAGGAGGAGGAGGACAGGCTTTTGGGGGTAAAAGTCAGAACGGGGTGAGGGTGCCAGGGCAGGTGTTATTAAAGCTGTGGGCAGAGGAAGTGCCTAGGCCAGCGCCAGGGGGGCTGCTACCCCAGCCTCTTGGGCACTCCCGGCAAGGGAAAGGGGAACTATGCTGGCCAAAGATAAGTTTAATAAAAGATGTGGAAGACTTGTAGAAAGAAATCTATGGAAAAGTCTTGAAAGGTTTCAATGAATACATAAACTACTAGAATGCTCTGCAATTTTTAATTAGAAGGTTGAATATATTTGAATTGTTACATTCTCCTCACACTGAATCACAGAGTCAATATGATTTGATTCAAATCTTGTCATTTTTTATGATGTTAAAATTCTCCTACATATTAGTTATATGTGTGTTTGTATTTACTTTGTGAAAATTAATAAATCTTGTGTTTTACATGCTTTATTGTGTGCTTGGTATACTTTGATGACTTCTATTTACTAAAGCAAAATGTTTCAATTGTCATTTTTCTTTCTTTTAGAACTACTAATATTTTCTCTTAAATCAAAACTTGAATAAGAGACAATTCAGGCTTAAAAGATTTACAAGAGAAACAAATTCACAGCTTATGTTTAAGGAAGTAATCACAGCTTAACTAGATTCCAATACTAAGAGTATTATGATGTATAGTGAAAGAGGGAAAAGAAGAGGAAGGAGAACTAGGAGAGCATTAGGAGGAAAAGTATGGAGAAGGGAAATTGGAAGAGGATAGATAAAAATAAGATTTAACAATACTGTGTCAAGAAAAAATATGACATATTACAGTTCATTGAAACCAATTAATACTAAGAAATTAAATGCTGAAGAAAATAAAGCAAGTTTCTAAATGATTTATTTTAATATATGGAAAGGCTCAGAGTAGGAAAGGGCAAGACTTATATTTCATCTAGGGTTATATTAATCAACTGAAAAGCTAGAGATGCAGAATTAATTAACATGGAAATTCCTTCCAATTACAAAGTTAGTTAGTTACGATAGAAAAGCACCAAATCTATGGGTCAGAAATTTACTTCTTGTTTGTCATATCTTCATACCCCTCCTCCAACCTTAGGCAAATTAACAGAACTTTCACAACTTCAGTCACTTCATGTTTAATACTTTGATATTTGCTTATCCACCAAGCAGCACTGCTTTGAGAGTCAGATTTGACAATTGGAAGAATGACAGTCTATAAATTATTCTTCAAACCCATAAGTTATTACTAAAAATTCACTTATATTACAGACCATGTAGAGGATTTTGCACAATCGCTAACTGTGCTGCAAGTCTGCACTTTCTGTAAAATGCTATTTACTGTGTA